GTTACACCTAACAATTTAAGTGCAGGCTTCATTACAATTGAGGGTAATGCATCAGGCACCTGTTTGGTTGTTCTCCCTCTTAATACCATTTCCGAGGTCTTGCTTCGGTTAAGTTTCATCCTGTTCTTACAGGCCTATTGTTGGATATTTCCCACCTCTTGCATTGCAGTAAAATTGCCTCAATTCCTCAATTAAACCACTCTCCACCAACAGAACTGACCTTCCCCAGATTTCCTTTATCTGCAATAGATACATTTGTTATTTCTGATAACCTGAATGATGCCATTCAAGCAATCCTTCAGACTCTTGAAGTTGATGAGAATTCTAATAACAGCATTGAATCTGCCACAAGAGAGCAATAAAATTCTGATTTCAGGAAGAATGAGTGTAAATATAGATTCACAGCTTCAAGATTCCAGCTAGTAAAAAAAGGCGAAGAAACCATCACAAGTTTCCTGCTAAGCTCACTGACACAAGGTCATTCTCTTCCAGACATGTTGAGCATGGACTGAAATATACACCAATTTCACTAAAAGAATACAAAAAATAATTTTAACCAGAAAGACTCCGGGTAAGGTTCTCAAGTGTGATCAAGTCATTTCACAACATTTGCCAATTCTTGCTGGCTCCCCTGATGCAAGAGTTGTTGATTTTGGATGTGAGCAACACTTTTGACTTGCATAGGTTAAATGTTCAGAGACCAAATACCATGTTACCCCTTTGGAGGCTTGAGAAGACCCTTATTCTGCTGTGAAGCTGTCAATGGACAATGCAAACTCAAAAGAGATGGGTGTAACTAGAGCATCCTGGTGCGATTTCATTGTATACACCAAGAAAGGAATCTCTGTGGAAAGGATTGCCTTTGACCCTGCATACTGGATACAAAAGCTTGCATCATATTTGGTCCAACAAAACCAAACAGGCAATCCAACTAGGCTACGCAAATCGTATAATCTATTTCAATATATTATTATTCGATCTAAAGAAAAGAACAAGATACATTTGAGAAATTGAACAGGATCCATCGATTCATAAACACACGAGTAAAACTATTAGATAGAATTACAGCACTGAGAACTTACTTCTATGACAATGTCTAGTAGGATTGTTTCACGGTGTATAGCTACGTACAGGTCAGCAACAGATGAAACAGGTCAGGGTATAACAGAACATGGGTCAGCAAGACAGGTTAGCAGAACTTGTACGTATCTTCGAATCTTAAGTATCTGAACTGAAAACTGAACTATTCACGTGGCTTAATTACATAAGCTAGTGTCAAGCAAAATCAATCAGGAAAATCAAGTTAATAATTCATTATATTGACGAAACAATATTATTTTCCCCATTTTAGAATGCATTCATCAAAGGCTGTGTAAATGCCAGCTTTTTAGGTTTCCACTCTTGTTTCACCTATTCTATTGGGTGATCTTCACTTGATATTTGTAAATTTCTCAAGAGTCACCAGATAACTCGATTTCATTTCTTTATTCTAGCATAAGACTCTACAAGATCTCAACAGAACTAACCACGTGACTCTCAATCAATGTCTTATTGTCAATTGTTCATGCTGTATCTAGCCTCTAGTGATCATGTGTAATTGTAACATAACACAACATTCACCACTTTCATTTTGAATTTATTTCGCTTCATTTCTTGTCAATGAATACAAGACAATAAAAAATAAGAGTCAACCTGAGTTGAAAATCTTAAACAAAAGATAAATTTAAATTGCAATACAAATTTTTGATTGGAAGGTCAACTTCCCTCCTTGTTTTCTTCTCATCTATTTTATTTTCTGGGGGCTACTTTCTAGTTTTCACCATTTATGAAAGGCTGCTGCCTACAATATTAATCATTTTGAAAATAGAATACAATTTAATTATTGCCTTTATTTTTTCCAAGCTGCATTATTAAAATATGTCCTGTTTCAGGATGTTTTGTTATCTTTTGTTATGTCTGGTACGTATTCTATAAACCAAATTGGAACTTGTCTTGGAGGACCAGTCAGATAGTTTCTTTCTAGCAGGGACGAGGCATTTCAGTCTGTGGGCTGTTCAGGTATGTAGGCATCACAGAGAAAACTAAAGGTTCATCATGCACTTATGATAAGATCTTGAAAATTGCAAAGTATCACAAACACACACCACATTTGATTTACTATTCCAAACTTAGTGGGATAATACCCTCAAATATTAAAAAGTTCTTTACTTTGTTTATGGCCCTTTCCACATGTATTCGCAAGCCAACAATTTCTAGTGTTTTGATAACAAATTCACCTGACATCTGGTCAGACATTCCAAGGAGAGGAGGGCTGTTAAGGGACACTCCAAGGTAGGAGAACATCTTCGATTGAAAAACCCTTGTCAGCCATTACAGAGTCTCCCTGTTCAAAGGGTAGTTTAAAAAAACTGCTGCGTTCAACCATTTCTCTATCAGATCTACTGCCAGTGCATAATTGTCTTATAAATGTTATTGACCCTTTAGGAGAAATACTCATCAGTGCTTTTAGGGTGGTATGGTTCTTGTAAGAGCCAAATAACTCACTGTTTAATAGAAGACTGCTAGGCATCTGACAGCACACCTCGGTGCAATTGATTATTACCCTTGTACTGGGATACTTTTCTTTGAAAGCTTCAGGCATCAATTAATCTACTACTTTCCTGGAAATTTTAAAAAAGTGTGCAAGATGAATTTCAGCAAATCCTTGCCTCAGTCTGCACATTACCAGGAAAAATTCTTCTGATGGTGTTAAAGTCCTTGGCCTTCCTTGCCTTACTGAATTACCAGCAGCAGCCTTTTGTGAGTCATCTTGGCTAGACAACCAGTATTTAATATTTTTCCATTGACACCAGGATCTAAATATTCATACAGAGCCATCATTGTTTGAACATTTGGAAACCCAGTATAAAATGTCAACAAAGAGTCATCTGTTTTGATGTTGTCAAATGAAAACACAATCATGCTTCTCTTTTCTCAAGAGGAGCAATGTTTCCATTTAGGGATAACACCTTGCTCTCTAACTTTTTGTTAATTTCAATAGTTGAGGCTAAAAGTTTCTACAGTAGTTGTGCAATTTCCAGATTTTCTTTGGACTGCTTATCAAAACTTGTTGAAGATTGCAGTTCTTCAATTTCCAGTGCAAGATGTGAATTGGATGAGCTTCCTGATGTCTCCAAAATTTTGCTCAAACTGGCAGTTTCTGCAACAAGTCTGGGTTGGGTCACTCTTACAAAAATAAAAACCCACAATGTTAAACTGGTTGAAAAATGCCTAAAGGGAATCACCCCAAGTTATTTCTCGAAATATTTTCAAATTAGAAGAAATAATAGTCATCATCACTTGAAGTTGTGAGCACTGTCATGGCTGCTGAAGCGGGTTTGAAGCTCCTTATCATTGTGCTATTAGCAATCAACTTGCCTTCTGAATGCGATGGAAGGGTCTAATTACCCAGGTTCAGTAGTAAACACTTTGCCGCAGCTTAATTATTCAAAATCAATTATTTTCTTAAAAAATTCTGGTCACTTAGCCCAGAATCTGCACTACATCATAAAACATTTGGAATTTTCAGAAGCTGTGGCGCAATAGGGGGTCACAGAAATCACCATTCTGAAATATTAGGGACAGTTGACTGTATTTCGAATATTTGCATTGTCCACTCATGCTGATCGATAAGACCAACAAGGAAAATAATGCAAGCGGAAAAATGGCTCTGTACGCTGACTTCCATGAATATAAGTAAATAATCTTTGATACCAAGAATTGTTCCAAAATGTCTTGTGATTAATGCCCACTTGCTCATGAAACCAGACGCAGTCTCTGCCCTTTATGCTGAACTGCTAACAGGATTGATACTTGTTTTGTTTCTCAACCTGGCTGCACAAGGATGTTCTTACAACTGTGTTGTAAGGTTTTCAGTGACATTAATGAAAAAATCGTTGAGATGCTCTGCTTTCATTAAATCATCAGTTATTAGTTTGTTGTTGTTGTAATCCATAACTGGGACAAAGTTGGTAACTTTGTTTTTCCTTAGCGCCTGGTTTGTCAGTTCCAAAATTTTTTAGGATTGGTTGATTTGTTAAATTGATTATTCCAATAAGCTGCCTTGGCCTTCTTTAACAGATTTTTTACCTCATTTTTTTTTTCTGTGCTGACTCCATTTCACTGGATCTCCAGAGGCTTTGGCCTCATTTAAGAGGTTAAATCTTTAATTTGTTCATTCCTTTCCTAATGGAAAAGTCAATCCACGGGAGGGATTTAGATCCAATATTTGTTTTGCTGGATGGTAAATGGTGTTCTTATATAATGTTGTATAAGTAGTTCCAGATGAAGGGGCAATCATCTATATCATCAAACAAATTCACAAGATGCCAAGGAGCCTGCTCAAAATCTGTATTAATTTGTTTTTTGTCCACTTGTTTATATTTCTTTGTTGAAATCACAAGTGGCTTGGGAGTACTTCTAACCACTTTAAAAACAGCAAAAATCTAATAGTGGTCAGATATTCCTAATGCCGTGTTTACATTCAAACGTTTACTGCGGTTTAAATTGACCGAGGTCAAGTTAACTGAACGTAAGTAGATTAGTGCAGTGTTTATACTGCCTCAAATAACCAAAGTTAATCTGTCAACACTGCCAAAAATCGAATTGGCGGGAAATACAAGCTACGCAATTTTTAAAACATGGTCGGTATTAACAAGAAAGTGGTGGCTCTGATAGTCATTGCCTTTTTCTTTTTCATTCTTGAGAAACAAGCAGAAGCGTCTCAATTAAGGCAACTGCTAATACTACAACACCTCAAGAAAGTGAGGCGAAAATGGATGATTTTACTGCAACTTATGCAGTGAAATAACAGGCGAGCGAGACGTGCTTGGTCCTGGCCAAGGAACCAAATCTGGTTTGAAAACCTACTAAACGGGTCTTTTGTCGAAGATTGGTGGAAGGAGAACTTCCGAATTACAAGATGTACCTTTGAGTTTATTGTCCGTGTGGCTGGTCCGGAGATGGCGAAGAAAGACACCAAACTGCGGCAATCTATCCCAGTGCACAAGCGAGTAGCGGTAGCATTATGGCGGCTAGCAACGGGCGACACATACCGATCTTCAGGACTACAATTCGGTATTGGACGGTGCACGGCCATGTTGATAAAACAGGATTTTTGCAATGCTATTGCTAAACATGCTTAAGAATTCATCAAATTTCCAGAAAGCGAACAAGAGGTACTACAAAGTATTAGATTGTTTACAAACAAGTCTCCATTTCCCCAAGTAGTCAGGGCTATTGACAGTTGTCATATTGCTTTGAAGACAGTGCCTGTGGACGAGCGAATTGATTACTTCAACTGAAAGCAAGATTATTCTGTTGTGATTCAAGGTGTTGCTGATGTGTCATTTCGATTTCTCAATATAAGTGCAGGCTATCCTGGTAGCATTCATGATGCGCGTGTTCTTCGTTTAAGCAATCTGCACAGGGAAATTGAACAAGGCAACTGGCTGAACAGGCCTACAAGACAAATTTCTGGTTCCGAAATTAGACCTTTGCTTGTTGGAGACTCAGCATATCCCTTATCTGTTTGGTTAATGAAGCCTTTTAAGCAAACACGTACGTTAAGTGAACGACAACTGCGGTTTAATCGTGCTCTCAGTCAAGCCCGTGTTGTTATTGAACAGGCCTACGGAATCTTGAAAGGGCAGTGGAGTTGCCTTTACAAGGCAATGGAAGAAAAGACAAGTATAGTGGCCATCACGATCTTGGCATGCTGTGTTCTTCACAATATTTGTATCGATGTGGGAGACCCTAGCCCCATAGACATATTGGGAGATGACGACGATGACATGGATCAAAGTTTAAATGGAGACGTATCGCCAATTGCATCTGATGTTAGAGACAAAATTATGGACTATTTACCAGCTTAGGAAAGTAGACAAAAATAGACCAGGCTCATATTGATTTTTTGCTTACTCATGTCATTTTCTTTATTTTCGTGAAAAACTAGCATTGTAGCTCAAGTTTGTACACATGTACATGTAAATATTCCTTAAAATTTGAAAGTTAACAAAGTTCTCAACTGTTTTGTTTACAAATTATAGACACAGCGATTTTGAGCAATTATTTAAAAATATAAATTGATTGATTAAAGAGTATATGATTGAATACAATTATTCATAATTTTAAAATACCAGATGTTAACATCTCTGGTTTGATTTGTGATCACTAAAAGTTGATCAGCATGTATCCAAAAACGTTTTTTTATCCAAAATCTTTTCAACACGACATTCAGCTAATTAATAAATGATTTTGTATTAATGGATTCACTATTTCATGACAACAGAACACAACAATAAAAATACAAAAAATACTAAAAAGGGTGTTCATTCGTTTCCTTTACTAACGTCCTTGAGGATGTTTCCGAGCATAGCAAGGGCAGCCATGGAAAACTTCTGCTGATCTTTCCTGTATTCTCTCTCGGCTTCAGCCACCCGCTCCATAAAAGCCTCGTCCCTTTCTTATGAGCGTTCAAGAAATGATATCAAGGTTGGCTTGTCTACTCCTGATGATCCGGCTTTTCCCTTCTTTTTTGTGCCTTTTTTTGATGGCCTTTCTGCTGCATCAGTGGCGTGCTTTCTTGGTACCTTTTTTTCCACATCAGCCTCATGCCTCTTCAGTACCGGTGTGCTTGCCAAAGGCTTTTTATTTTTGCCTTTACTCTTAAAAAAGAGGGATTCTGCAAAGGCAAGCGACTGGTCGTTATCGGATTCATCTCCATCAGAAGGCACCGTGCACTCAGATGGAGGAGAAACATTCTGGGCAGTCCCTTGCCTTTGTTTTTGTGCAGCTTGGCAGATTTCCTCATCTAGGGCATCTTTCTTGAGGATATCGCGTTCGAGTTCCGACATTTCCGGTGACTCGCTATTGGGGACGTGGGAGCTTTCGAGCATGTGGCGCGGGTCGATGGATTCCCTTTTACCGAGAATTTCATCCATATCGTTGAAATGTTTCAGTATGATCTCCTCACTTTCTTCACTTTCATTGTCGGACGGCACATCGCCCCCTCTGCCGTATCCTGTCGACCGAAGCTTGTCTTTGGTGTTTTTATACAAAATTTGTCAAATTTTCCAATTTGTTCTTGCACTGTTGTGGCGTTCTGTCGCTGTCTACGTTTTGTTCCTTGCTCCGCGGGTGAAGCTGGCGAGCAATCGACAGCCATTCAGGGGAGCTGAAGGCTTTGTATCACAGCTTATCTTCATTTTCTCCAAACAGCTCCACTAAGATCTTTTCTTCAGTGTCTGTCCAACAATTTTTCTTTTTTGGACCAGTGCTGCTACTGCTGCCGTGGCTGTTCTCTTGCAATTGCGAGCCAGGCAGATCAAGAATGGGGTCGATGAGATGAGTGAATTTGTTGCGCTCCTCGCAATTGAGAGCCATAGAACGGCAGCACAGCATATTGAGGTTGCGGCTAGTAAGGGAAATACGTCGCGCTCATTCGCGAATATTGTTGCTGTGGATCTTGCCTGGAAAAAAACGGAAAACAAATAAATCTGTTTTATCCGGATAAAAAAAAAGTGTGAGTGGAATGAAGGGGAGACGTAATACATCGCTTACCTTTCGGTTTGACTGCCGTAATAATTAAAAAATGTGTCCTTATTTTTTTCCATTTTGCTAGAGCACGCGACTTGGCGCAAAGAAAGCCTGAACTCCGCGAATAAAACATGAAACGTGTCAAGTAAACTTGAACTCGCGATAAATCAAAAAAACTTCACCGCAACGGGATATATCTGTCAATTTGACCTCGGTTACGGAGCTAAACCAAGCCAAATCACTGCATCATTATCGCTTTTACCATGGCTAAATTTCCTTTGTCTTTTGCTGCCTTTACTGAGGTATTAATTGATGTTTACATTGACCAAAAATTTACCTAGGTAAGTAAACTCTTTTACCGCAGTAAAAATCCCAAGTGTAAACACGGCATAAGTCAATGGAACCAGATGTTTGAACTTTCACTGGCTGACTTGTTACAATCTTCAGATGTTAGCTGCACAAACTCCTTTTGAAATGTCTCCCCAAATGAGACTCATTTGACTCTAGGCTGTGAGACATTCACATCACACTTAGCCCTATCCCAGAAGTGTCCCAAATTTAAACTGCAAAATAGCTAGTTCTGCTTTTAAAATGATTTTAATTTATTTTCAAATAAGACAGGTCTACAATCATTTTAATTAGAAGGCAAAGAGTGATTTTGACACTGCAAATAAATGTCATTTATTATTTGGAATGTTATTCAAAAGTGGTGTCACTCAGCTGCTAGATTTTGCACCACTTGATCAGTCTGCATGGCAGCCCTTCTCTCTGCAGCATAGGTAGTGTACATGCATTCATTCATTAAAATTAAATCCCTCAAAAACCAGGGTACTGTAGTTGTTATGCAGATTGGCTTCATTGTCCTTAGTAAGAATTGCAGACTGCATATAATTATAGACTGAGAGAGATGTAATATTGCAACACTTGACTTACCATCTTCCCCAATCAAATTATTCAGCTTGGTCCTGAGGGACTGCAATATTGCAGCCTTGTTTTTAGGTTCCTTCTCTGTGTGGGTATCACCTGTGCGCCCGGACTCCCTCAGTGTCACTTGCGGCAATTCTGTGATTACAACAAGTTCTAAATGAAATCACATATGTCATAGGTCGAAAGAAGTGCAATCATGACGACGTAAAGGTCCAAGAAAAACTAGGAATTGAGCTCACTAAGTAAATACAGTTCTTTTATCAGTGCAGTGATATAATTATCCTAAACATCACCAACTTGACCAAGTTCCCAGTTGAAATCACCAGACCTTACCCTTCTTAACTGGTACTGCCAGCTAGTATATTGATGTAATGTTACTGATTTGCTGGTATTTAATTGGAGAACATCCTGATAATTATGCAATTGTGGCTCCATTATTCAAATGGATACTTACTGATAAAGGCTTGCTTTAATAATTGCAATAACTATCTGAAGTTTTTGTAATGGCCCATTATAAATACCATTTTTAGTAGAACCAATATATATGTATATCTTAAATACCAACCAGCAATAGTGTGCAGAATGTCTTGGTCCAGTTCATGGAGCCTTTTGCCCTTTAGCTCCTCAGGTCCTCATCAGGACCCTCCTGGCAAAGGCTGTTTTTTATTTGGTATCTTTTTGTGCCACATGCAATCTAATAGGATTGACCCACACTCCATTGCCTATTTCTTCCCACTGTGAAGAAAGAAAATCTAACATTTTTAATGTGACTACATAATGCAAATGATGGATGGAAGATTTGATGACAAACATCACAGGTGTAAATTGACTAGGTAATTAAAAAAGGAACATTGGAGCAGGCCTGAGGGGAGGGTGCTTCCCTATTTGCCTTTAGTCTTGTCAGTTGCTGTTATTAATGGCTATAAGTTAAAGGCATATATATATATAAATCATTTACCTTCCTTTTAAATGCCTCTTGTCTGGTTACTTTCCCATACCTAAGGATATCCTTATCCTTGTTATACACCCCTCCTGGATTTGGAGTTAATTCTTTAGCCATTGTCAGATTAAAAGAATAACATAAACAAAATTATTATAAATTTTCTTAGAATCAGATGCCATCTTAACACTAAATAATATTTGTCAATTAGTATAACTCTTCATTCATTTTGATGCATCAATTTCCAAACACATCAATAGATAAAGATGTACTTCAATAATGCTAATGGGTGTTTTCACAACTACTTTCTCTGAACATTATTTTTTAATGCTTGTAAGCCCTGGATATAAGTTGTCCCATTGTTTAGTGTACTCAAATCCTGTCATGTATTTGTATACATGAAAGTTTTACAAGCAATATTTTGGGGTTATATATATATATATATATATAGATATATATAAATATATATATCTATATAAATATATATCTATATCTATATAAATATATATATATATATATAAATATATATATATCTATATAAATATATATATATATCTATATATATCTAATACGCAACTATATATATGGCTTTTAAATTCCTAGGAATTCCTAGGAAAATCCTAGGAATTCCTAGGAATAAAGTTGTTAATTTTCACGGTAAATTCGGACTGGGAATTCCTAGGAATTCCTAGGAATTCCCAACCATAACAACTCTGGTTCTAAAAACCTAGAAATTCCTAGAAATTCCCAGAAATTCCCAGAAATTCCCAGAAATTCCCAGAAATTCCCAGAAATTCCAAGTTTATAGCCAACAGGACTTGGAATTCCTAGGAATTCCTAGGAATTCCAACTCAGAGAACCAATGACTTTCCCTGAAAAGCTGTAAATCTAAAAAATTCCTAGGAATTTCTGGGAATTTCTGGGAATTTTTGGGAATTTTTAGGAATGCTTAAGAATTACTGGGAATTTTAAGCAAAACTTTGAGGCTAATGATATAAAATAAATACTTAAAATTAAAAAAACCCAGCTAAAATTCAAGTATTCAATGAAATTTATTTAGAAGCTTAAATAAGGCTTACATGTAAAATATTTTTGGTTAATTATTAACATCAATGTGTGGTAATATTAGGATGGAATTTGATTTATTTTTCTTTTCTTGAAAACTTCATACGGATTAATCCTCAATTACAGCTATTCATATAAAATAGTTCTAATCAATCATTAAATTTGGTTTGACACAAATTGTGAATAAAATCTGTTGATTCTTTTCCATAAAATACAATATCTTAAGTTATATTTATATAGTTATATTCTTGGGAGTGAAGGGGCTAATTACAGTAAAATAAAATAAATTTTTTGATTAAAATCTTGTTGTAACTGTAACAATAAATTAGAATGAAGTTATCCTAAACTGCAAACTTAGCTGCTGTTTGTACTGTTTGTATTTTTTTTCCTGGGCTCACAATGAGT